TAAATCAAACTTTGCAAAGTTTAAACCATGCCTGAAGCGCCAATCAACACCTGTCTCAGATTCTAAGGTAACCCACATGTGCACAGCCAGTTGTTTCGTTTGAAGCAGCCCATTCTTTCTGCAGACACGGCAGCTCCTGGCGCACTGTGCGAACACAGCCCCTCTCACGTGCGTCACCACGCTCCAGCGGCACTCAGGTGGGGCCTCGGTGCAGAGTGCACGTGACCTCGGATTCTGGGCACCCTTGCAGTTCAGGCCAGTCTCCTGGAGACGTCCGGCCTTTTGCGGGTCCCTCCTGAGTGTGGGACGTGGAACTCAGGACGTGGGACGTGGTCTGCCCCGTGCCCCGTGCCCCGTGCCCCATGCCCCAGGCAGGGTGCCTGTGCTGGACGTCAGAGAGATGCTTTGGCGTTCTCCTCCCAGTCCCTGTGCATGCGGCCTTAGGTGGAAACAGGGTCTTCGCAGTTGTAATCAAGTTCAGATGGGGTCGTTAGGATGGGCTCGGATCCAGTGACCAGGGTCCTTGGGAGATGAAACACCACGTGAGTGACGGGTCCACAAGACAAGGAATGCACTGCTAGCAGCCGGAAGAGGCAGGCAGGGGCCTCTCCTACAAGCTTCAGCGGGAGCTCGGCCTCGCCGAGACCTTGGCCTCGGACTTGCCGCCTCCAGAACTGTGGGAGGTTACGTTTCTGTTGTTCTCGGCCACCCAGCATGTGGCTCTGCGTCACACAGGACGTGGACAGCAGGACGTCTGCCCTGTCCCCGTCTCCTCCCCAGCGGCTCCATCCTGGTTCCATCCCGCAGACTGGAAGTCTGCTGGTCAGTTTCGTCCTCCGTGGCAGCCCTAATTTTGGCCCCTCCAAGGCTCCGTGTGGCCACCGCTGGCGGCCTTCCTGGCTGGAGGCGCCCTCGCGCCCCTGGGCCCCGGGGTCTGCCCAGCGCCTTCTGATGGCGCCTCCTTCCTGCCTGTCTGCACCCCTTGCGTTTCTCCTCACCAGACGCCAGCGTGGCGTGCCCGCCAGGCTCGCTGGTCTCATTGCCGATGACCTCTCGGGCCCAGGGTCGCTGCGTGGTTCTGCTCTGCAGGGAAAGTGCTTTTTTCCTTCCCCTCTTGCTTCTCGTTCTCATGGCAACCCCAGATGCGACTTCGTGTTTAGACGACTGAGTGAGGCAAGTCTCGGCGAGCGGAGGAGGCCCAGCCCCCACGGTGCTCCCAGAGCCCGGAGACGATGGAGGTCGCTCCAGACCTACCAGGACGTGTGCTTGCGGCTTCCGGAGCTGCCTCGGTTTCCCCTTGGTCCCAGTCCCTGAGGGCAGTGCATGTCACACGCAGGTCCCCTCTTCCACATGCTCTGTGTCATCCCGCCAAGGAGCCCGGTGGCGTCATGCGCGCCCCCACGCCCCAGGCTGGGTCAAGCACTGCATCCAAACCTTTGAATCACAGAATGCTTTTGAAATAACTAGACTCATACATTTTTTACAATTTTTCCAAGGGCCGCTCCTCACCCAGAGTAGATCACTAAGGCAGTGCTTACTTTCTTGGGCGGGAGAACAAGACATGACCCCTTCTGGGCCTCTGTGTGGGGGTGGGGAGGCGGATAGGGGACCGTGACCTGCAGGGGCTCCCGAGGACAGGGCTGCTGGGTTCCTAGGGACACAGAAGCAGAGGTGTCAGCTGCAGAAACCCTGAGTTAACCAGCCTTCCTGGGGAAGGACAGCAGGGCCAGCTGCTCGGAACCTTCTGGTACCTGTTGCCTAACAGCCCTTCGTGTCATGAGGAGACATCGCCGTCGTGCAAAAACTCAGAAGTCTGGACGCCCAGAACGCCCCGTGGGAGCAAGGTGGACGCCAGCCTCCCTTTCCACGGGCCTCACCACCTTCCTTCCGCCTGAGGGCAGGTCAGGGACGAGCTCTCAGAGGCTGTCAGGTCTGGTCAGCAGGTGCCCTGGTCAGGGAGGGAGGGCAGAGCTGCTGGAGGACAGAGGTCAGGGCAGAGAAAATCCTCCAGGAGCTGCTGGGGCCTCTAGTTCCACAGATGTGGGGTGGTTCCCCCATTTATAACAGCGACCCCCCCACACACACACCCATCCGCCCCACCGTTCACCCCTCGAGAGGTGCTCACAGGTTGTCACTTCGCAGCCCCACTCCCGGCGGGTCACAAAGCGCCCCTGGCAGAGGCTCTGGAGCCCACAGGCTCCCTGTCCCCCCTCCCGCTGACCTTCCCTGTGGGCGGCACGAGAAGCTCAGAGGCCAGAAGACCAGCGCGGCTAGACCGTGCGACACACAGGCCGTGGGTGCTGCGGGAGTCAGAGGGAGGCTGGTGGGGTCAGGGCAGCCCCCCCTCCTTCTCTGGAAGCTTCAGGCAGGGGGAGGGGAGCGGTCCCTGAGCAGAGGGTCTCACTGGCCCTTCCCCGCAGGCATGGCTGTCGGAGGCCACCAGGAGTCCTGACCATCGTGAGAGGAAAGACATGTTCAGAGTTTCCTAGTGCTGAACACGCCAACGGTTTGGCTGGATGGATGGATGGATGATGGATGGATGGATGGATGGGTGGATGGATGATGGATGGATGATGGATGGATGGATGGATGGATGATGGATGGATGGATGATGGATGATGGATGGATGGATGGATGATGGATGGATGATGGATGGATGGATGATGGATGATGGATGGATGATGGATGGATGGATGGATGATGGATGGGTGGATGGATGATGGATGGATGGATGGACGGATGGACAGACAGAGGGATAGACAGAGGATACTTTTCTAAATATTTCCTGGGCCTCACAGTGAAACCTGAGAGGTGATAGTTCTGAGTCCTGGTGGGGTGTGGATTCTGAGAAGCAGTCAGCGTTCCCGGCCTCGGTGTCCCTGTGCCGTGGCCAGCAGCTCCCCTCCACAGGCCAGGACACACTTGTGGACAGTCACACCCCTCACTTCTCCTGAGACGGACCACAGCGCAGCCCCCATCTCCACGGGCCTCGGGGGCTGATTCCGTTTAAGGCTGGCCTCTCTAATGAAGGAACTCCTACCTCTGGAGAAGGTCAGGTGTGGCAGTGTCCACACCATGAGGACGTGACTTTCCCTGTGGCCGCCCGTGCTGCCGGGGCTGCTGCTGCAGCTCACACCCCCGTACCCCCAGACCCGGAGGGGAAACGCTTTCCATCCACACGTTAAAATTAAAATCTGGCTGCCTCGCTTGTCTCCCTCTTAAGTAGCTTCTGTCAATTTGTGGAAATTTGCCCAAGAAAAATGATTGGAGTGTTGTGTTGGGTTTTTTTTTCCCCTCCACTTACATTTCTTAATTCTAATGAAATAATGAAACAGGTAGCTGGTGACAACTGTGTCTGCTCTCTCTCTCTCCATCTAATTTGATTACCCACATTTGGAGTGTCTCCCGCTGGTGTGGTGCCGTACACGAATCGCAAAGCGAGACCTCCATTCTTAGCGCCAATGGGGACAGTTCCCAGGCAGCTAATGAATCACGCTAATCAGAGAACCAACTTGAAAATTAATACATTCTACTGTAACTATTTAAAGAAAAAATAATTATCGAGACTGTTCTCACTAAATTATGCTGTCTAGAAGTTGCAGAAAGAATATCTTGTCTAATTTTAAGACGTAATCTGGGTTTTGCAGATTTTTCTTTTCCTAAGTGATGAAAGAGGTCATTGTTGAGAGGAGGAAGGGGTCCCCTTCTTCCTGCTTTTGGGGTCTTGGGGGTTAAGCAGGTGAGCCTTTGCCTCCCTCGTCGTCCCTGCCCTGGAGCCAGCGCCAGGCCCCTCAGGCTGCCCCCTTGGGTGGGCTTCTTAGTCTACGTGGCTAAAAGGAGGCTCTTGGCTTCACCGGTTCCTGGGACGCAGAGCCATTGCTCTGCCCCGGCTTAGCTGCGAGCACTGCGTGAAGTGGCCGTGTGTGACCTTGGCATGTCCTTCAGCCTCCCCCACCCATGTGCCTCCTAGGACCCGGCTCTCAGAGATGCTCTCAGCTGCACATTCGCAAAATGGACTGAGCCGTGGGGTGGGGGGTGGGGGGGCTTCTGAGGCTCGTGGGAGCCCTTCCGTCACCACTGCCCACCTTCTCCAGGGTGGACGTGCGGCAGGCGGCTGGCATTAGCGCAGGGACCCCCTGATTCCGGGATGGGGCACCCTTGCCCCCCTGCTAGGCCAGGCCTGCCAACCCCGTGCCTTCCCTTCCCCAGTGAGGGATTGGGACCCACATTCACGCAGCAAAGCCCAGACCTAGGGCCAGAAACGCCCTGGAAAGTCCAAGCTCCTGATGATCAAAGCAAACGCAGGCAGGTGTTTGCGGGGAGACACCAGGGCTCTGAGCAGCACGGCTCCGCCGCTGGCCGCTCTCTGTGACCAAGGCGGTAGACGTGGCCTTGTTGTTCGGCCCAGTCTGAGCTGATTGCACGCTGGCTCTCCCTCCCGGAGCCTACGGGGAGCCTCCTGGCTGTGCTTTGGAGACACGAATGGCCTGGCCCCCTCCCCCCGGACTCCCAGGGTGGGGGCAGCCTGTCTGTGATCGGCTGAGGGCCTCCGCTCTCCTAACTGAAGGGCCGGTCTGGGGTGTGACCCCCCAGCCTGTGTCCTGCCAGCCTCCTGTGTGCTCAGAGCCTGCATCTCAGAGCCTGTCCGGGACCAGGACAGGCATCGCGTGCCCTGCAGACTGTCCCATCAGGCTACTGTCCCCCAGAGAGCTGCTCTCCCTCCAGGCACCGCCCGTGGCAGGACGACACCTCCACCCTCATCTCTCTGTTGTCCCGTCTCCTTCGTGAGACTCGGACTCACCTGACAGTGGCGCGGAGGTGCCCACCCCCACCCCCCCTTGCAATGCAGATGCCACATCAGCGCGCTTGCCCTCAGGCTGGCGGTCTGCGGAGGCTGCCCGAACGGAAGCCCTGGTCCCTGACAAGGGGGCAGCTCCCAGCCGGGGCTCCCGGGCCAGTCCCCCCCCACCTCCACCCCGCCTGCTCAGGGAATGACCCCGGGCAGGCAGACCCCTTGACCAGATGCATCTGAATATACTAGAACCCCTCAGCCCAGCTTGAGTGGGGTCCAGAGTCCACCAAGTGCTGCCTGAGGGTCTGGGTGGGTCGCGTGGGCCTGGGGACCATGTGTGGCCGATGGAGGCTGAGCCCCGGACCCTTGCTCAGCTCCCTGCTGGGCCCAGAGGACCGTGGATTTCCAGGACATGCACCCCTGCCCAGACGCTCTGGGCCCTGGTCGTCCAGCCTGTTGTCTGCACCCCAGTGGCCGCCTCCATTCCATGGGCCTCCCTGCAGCCCCCAGAACACAGCACGGCCCCTCCTCGCCCCTGCAGTGCCCCGGCCTCACGGCGGCGAGCCCCACCTGCCCCAGGTCACCCCACGCCCCTCCCGCTGCCTGCAGTGTGGCCTCTCGCTTCTCCCTTCAAACCTCGCCTCTTCCAGGAAGCCCTCCTGGCTGGTCCAGGGACCCCACTGCCCTGTGGACACTTAGGAGCCAGCGCTTTCCATAACGCAGCCCGTTCTGGGACTGACAGACTCAGAGCACAGACAGGTCTGTCCTCAAGCTGGACGTGCCCTCGCTGCACAACCTGAGTGGGTGACCACGACCCTCTTCCTGAGAGACAGGGGTTGACAGGGCATTTGGGCTCAGGGGTCCTGGAGGCCAGGCTGTGCCCACCCCCATCCCACTCGCCTCCCCGATGAGTTAATCAGGGCCAGAGGTGCCCGGCACTGGAGGATGTGGGCTCCTGCACTGGCCCTGGGGGTGTTCAGAATACCTGGGGGGCCTCCAGAAAATGTGCCGACCACGTTCGCCTGCGGGAGGACACGAGGCTGTGATCAGAGACATGTTGGGGTTCCAGGCCGTCTCGCCAAGCACTGCCTGCCTCAAATGACCAAGGAGGGGACCCGGAGCAGTTCAGGGAGCACAGAGCCGGTCCCCCTGTGCAGCCCCCTCCGGGAAGAGGCAGGCTGCTCCTGAGAACACCCCGAGTCCCAGGCCCCCCAGCCAGGACAGCACAGGGGCCACCCCAGGATCGAGGCCAGTCAGGCGCCTGGAGGCGAGTGTGGGGTCCAGCTCACGGGCCCCTCTCCACCCTGGTCTGAGGGGCAGCGTCCTCCCTGCTCTGCCTGAGGGTGGGATAGGGTCTGCGGACGTCTTTCCACAGGATGGATCTCGTCGATGTTTGTCACTGCGGTCACACCCGTCCTGAGTGAGGGTGGGGGGTGGGATGACAGAACCCGCCAGAGCAGACGGGGGCGTGACCACACATGCGGCCCCCTGTCAGGTTCCCCGACCCTGGGAGCAGAGCCAGGAGCGTCCGAGGAGATTCCGGAAGGCTAGGTGGGGTTCTTCATTGGCGCCGCCCTCCGCTGGCCTGACGGGACCTGTGTAGCGGTGACAGCCTGCCCTGCCCCCCAGCGCCCTGTGGGCCCCCTTCAGTGCGTGGCCGTGGGCCCAGCACAGCGAGCTGTACGTTGTCACCTGGAGCAGGTGCTCTCATGTAAGGGACTTAGGATCCAGGTGTGGCTGCTTCAGCTTATGCTACGTCCCCTGCCGGCATCACAGTTCATCTCACGCCTCCTCTGGCTCAACCCAGCCAAACCCCCCCACAGGGTCCACTGGCCACTGGTCCTTCCCTCCTGGTGCCCGGCTAATGTCCAGGTGCCCCCAGGTGGGGCTCAGAGCTGAGGCTGGGCCGGGCGTGGGCTCACACCCAGCTCGGCCGTGGAGCCTCTGCTCAGCCCTTGACGGCAGCCCGGCCCCTGGAGCTGCCTTTCTCCCGACGCACCCTTGACCCTGGGCGGCCGTCCTCGGGGCGGGGCCCCTCCCCCCAGAGCAGCTCCTGACCTGGCTGCAGGGGTCTCTGGGCTCCTGCCCTCCCCCCAGGGGCCCCGTGCTCTGTCCCGGCTGCCGTGAGGGTCTGTGCCGAGCTCTTAGCTGGGCGTCTGGAAGCAGGTCAGGAGCCGTGGCTCCTGTGACCCGGGCCGGGCTGCAGGCTCACACCCCACACCTGGCTGTCAGCCCTTGTCCTTGCTGGCGGGGACTGTGCCCACTGCAAAGATCCGAAGCATATTTTGGGGCCATTGGAGGCGATTTTATTTACCCAGTTCTCCAAAGAGGAGTCGGCCTCAGCCGGACACGGGGGAAGGTTGGAGGAATGGAATGAATCCTGTAAATGGTGAGGCGCGTCGCACACCCACCCTGGGAACCCAGACATGCAGCGTGGACTGTAGTTACTGGAATTAAGTAGAACGTATGAGCATCTAGAAGCTTTAGAACGTACTGTGTCCGTACCTGTATCATCTAGGTCTGTTTTAACGTTGGAAGCCCTTGTGGGGTCTGCAGGGGCTGTGGGAGTGGCATGTTCCCAGCGGGTCAGTCAGAAGGGGGCACGTGTCCTTCAGCCCCAGGTGGGAGCCGCCCAGAGCCGTTAGCTGCAGCCTCTGGCGCCAGGCGGGCGGCTCATGGAGCTCCAGGACGCAGTTCTGTCCCCCAGATGCCGTCAGCAGGGTGCCTGTGGCCTGCCCCATCGGTCAGCCCTTGGGTGGCAGCGGCCTCTCGCTGGGTGAGCTTCAGGGTTTTGCCGACCCGGTACATGAGCACGAGACACTGCACAGTGACGCAGCAGGGCTTCCGCTTGGCCAGGCATCGGGTCTGCGTTACACCGACTCAGTCCTTGCAAAGCCCCCCATATAGACGTGGTCACCCCAGCTGACAGATGGGGAGACTGAGGCCTAAGGGCCCAGCTGTGAGCACCCATGTTGGGACTAGACCTAAGGACAGCTTGTGGGGGCTACCAGGGTGCCCCCTGACCTCCCAGCCCCACGGGACTCCTGCCTGAGCTGGCACCCCCGCCCGCAGGGGCCTTAACGCCCCCCCCCATGGAGCGGGAAGGTGAACGTCCAGGGCCCGTGGGCCTCTCACATATGACGCTGAGTCAGTGTGCGCCTGTCGTGTGTGGGGATGGATGTGCGTGTACAATTAGCATGTATACGTGTGTGTGACATGGCAGTCCCCTGTCCCCAGTGTCACCTGACCCTCTGTCACCAGCCGTACCTGGGAGAGTCTGGGGACACATCCTGCTGGACCAGACGCTACTGGAGAGGGTCGCTCCCCGTCTCAGATGGACACGGTCCCTTTTGATGCCGGCGGAGAACGTGGCCAGAGCTTGTCCTGGAATCCCGGCTGGCTTTGTTCTGCAGGGTTCGTTTTCCATGCTGTTGATAAAGTGAGCAGGTTTATGTGGAAATTAAGAAGCCGTTTGTTACCAAGGGAGCCGTGCTGTTTACGAGCCGCGAGGGGCCTGGGCATCGAGCGAGCAGCACGGTCTCCACACTCCCCAGGGGGTTGGGGGGGGGTTCACCGCCACTCGTCCCCGTCCCTCTGTCCAGACGAGGCCGGCAGCGTGTCTGCCACTGCACTTGGTGTTGTGGAAGCCAGACCAGACTCCGGGGCTCCTCAGGGTCTGCCGGCTGTCCAGTTCCTTAGGTTTGGGGGTGGGTGAGGCCGTCTGACAGTGGGGAATGATATCCAACGCTACCCCACGCCCGTGGTCACTGCACACGCCTGCGTCCAGGTCCCTGTGTCTCTGAGCTGGGCCCACAGTGAGGGGACCCCAGAGGAGGCTGTACCTGGACACCAAAGAACCCACCGCCAGTACCCTGTAGCTGCACACTGTGGGGGTGTGCGTGTGTGAGCTGGAGGGAGACAGGGAGGGGGTGGGGGCTGCCACCCCAAGGCCGGGACAGGCGGGCTCCCAGGGCTGCGGCGTCCTCTCAGAGGCTCGGGTGGGCTGAGCTGGTCCGTTTCCGGCCCTGAGACCCAGTCTGGACAAACCTGTTCTCCGTTGGGCCTGGGGACAGTCACTAGGCCAAGGAGTGACCATGGTTGTGACATGTGAACAAGCTGTGACCACTGTCCCAGCTGTCAGCCACCGTCACTCAGGCGTCCTCAGCACCGTCAGCCCTTGGGGGACGCTGTCCCCAGGCCAAGAGCTGCCACACTGTCAGGGGCCAGAGGAGATGAAGTTGTGACGTGGCCATGAAAGGCCCTTTTGTCCCTGGGACGTGGTGGCCCGGCACGGGCCTCTGACCGCCTCCAACAGGAAGTGGGCCCGGGCTGCGTGAGCCAAGCTCCCTCGGGAAACAAAAGGCAGTGTGTGCTCAGCGCTGGCCTGCAGTGCCCTCTGCAGGGCTGGCACCGGCATGCCCAGGCCACCGCCGCGTGGGGGACAGGGGCTGCGGTCCTGGGAATGTGTCCACCTGGCAGCTGCGTGCCAGGCCAGCCCACCAAAGGACCACAAGTGTGTGCACGTGTGTGTACATGTATGCACACGTGTGTGGCCAGGCGCCATGGCTGTAGCTTGGTCAGGACCCGTGCCCCCTCCCCTCCTCCTTCGGCACCATGTCACACGGTGTCACGTCATGTTCACAGGCCTGTCTCCCCATGACATTGCGTCCGCGTGTCCCCTGCCGCACCTCTCCCAGCTCAGAGCTGAGTGTGTGACAGAGCAGGAGGGGTCAGCCGTCCCCACGTGGGCTTTGGGCGTGAACGGGAACCACATGGAACAGACGGCAGGTGCAGTGCGGCAGGGCAGCCTCGGCTGAGGGCGTGGAGCCACGTTGAGTGAGGCCTAGAGCAGGAGTGGGGCCACAGTGAGACAGAGGGACACAGCCCCACTCTGTGGGACACGGGGGAGGGTGGCCCGTCGGCGCGGGGGAGGGTGGCCCGTGGGAGGGTGGCCCGTGGGGCGCGGGGGAGGGTGGTCTCCCCAGGTGTTGGTCCATGAGCCCCTCCCCCACAGTCCGAGTGACCATGAGTGCCTGCTGTCCTCACCCGACCGTGAGTGACGTGTCTGTGACCACTGACCAGCTGAACCCTGTGCCAGGTACTCGGTCTGCACCTTCTCCTCAGCCCCCGGGAGGACCGAGCCCACAGGGCCAGTACCCCGGCCTGAGTGCCCCTGGGCGGCGCTCGGTGGTGCCGGATTTGAACCCAGGCCCGCCGGCCGCTAGCCAGCCCGCCAGCTCCTGGAGCCGGCCACGTCACAGCACGTCCAGCCAGCACAGTGCGGGTGTCAGGCCCTGTGTTCTGCCTTCGCTGGGCGGCCCCTGCTCTGTGTGTCCTGTTCAGGGGACACGGGCCTCCGTGGTAGCCTCGCTGAGCTGGGCCTGTCACCCCCCGGGCTTCGTGCGTTCCGTGCCTGGCAGCTGGGGCAGCCGAGTTCCTGCTCTTGGCTCCCTGGACAGGCAGTGCTGTTGGGTCCCAGGCCTCCCCTGCACCAGGGAGCTGGTGGCACGCTCCTCCGACCATGTGCCTGGGGGTGGCTGGGGGACACGCAGGAGCACAAATTGCGGTTTCTTCTAAGCTCCTGGGGCCTCTTCCTCCCCGTCCCCCTGGTTGACTGTGGGCGACCGGGAGGCCAGGCCACCCTGACTGACCCCAGGCCTCCCCTTCCGATGCCCCCCGCCAACACCCAGTGCTGGGACCGGGTGCGCTGGGTGCCGTCTGTGCCCTGGGCGAGCCGAGACTGATGGGCTCTCTTTTCCCCCACAGCACGGATCATCAAAACGAAGCAGTGGTGTGACATGCTTCCTTGTCTGGAGGGAGAAGGCTGTGACTTATTGATCAACCGGTCAGGCTGGACGTGCACGCAGCCCGGCGGGCGGATAAAGACCACCACGGTATGTACGTGGCCGCCTTGGCCGTGGGGGCTGGAAAGGGGGCCAGGCCTCGGCCCTGGAGCGCGCCAGGGGAGGGGACCTCACACCAGCAGGGACGGGGACAGAGGAGGCTGGCGTCCTTATGCAGAGAGGCCCCCGGCCCCCTCCTCCTCCTAAACCTCCACCCGGCCCCCTGGGGCTAGGTCGGCCTGACCCCGGCCGTCCTTGGCCCGTCAGATGGTCACTGAGTGTGCATGGGCGCCGAGCGGCTGGACAGAACCGCCCCCACACTTGTCAGCCCAGAAGCTACATCTGTGCCCACGCACAGACTGGTGGTGGATGGAAGTTGTCTTGTTTCTGGGGAAACGCTAGAACCCCGCAGATGGGCCTCAGATATCTCCCCTGAGGCGAAAGGACCTTTAAAGGGAAAGGCCTCGGGAGGGCTGGCGGCGCTCGCCCAGGTCGCCTCTTGCCCCGTGTACCGCGTGGTGGCCATTTATAGCAGAGACCCCAAGAGGGCCGTGGCCTCCTGGCCGTGATTCCCGCCTCGATGCCTCAGGAGCAGTCGGGGGCCTGGGGCCCTTGTGGAAGCGTCTCTCCGGGGAGCTGGGGGCCGCGGCCCCTCGGGTGGCCCCACGGGAACGTCCGCCCTCCTTGCGCCCGGCAGCCTCTGGGCGAGGACTCACGTGGGCCGTTCATGTGGCCAGTTTGGCGTGGCTGCCACAGGAGGGCCTGGGAGTCCTGGCCCTTTGGCCAGGCAGGCACGTCAGGGCTGAGCAGAACTCCGGCCTCCGGGGCGCAGGGTGAGAACAGAGCTGCTCGTTGTGACGCCGGCCGCAGATGCAGCCCAGCCTGACCTTGGATTTTCTTTTCCCGGAGGCCTCTCGTGTTTGTGGGAATTTGGGCAGCTTGGCCTGAGGGCGGCCAGGCCTCGGAGCTCCGGCCGCAGCACGGTGTCTGACTGGCGTGGGAGCCAGGCTGCAGCCAGCCACCGTGCACTGAGCTGTGCCGGCTGCGCCCCGAGTGCCTGTCGGAGCCACCGGCCAAGCTTGTTTGTCCGTGTCCCACACGGGGCCAGCACTTCTGTCGCCACACCTGCGAGGTATGCTGGGACCTGCCCTCTCGTCACCTGCCACCTGCCTGCCCGCTCCACGGTGTGCCTGCGCCTCCAGGAACTAATCTGTCTGGGGCTCCCGTCTGCGTGCTGCTGGGCTGCTGGGGACACTGTCCCCGGACCCGTGGGACCCAGGGCTCAGTGAGGGGTGCCCAGCAGGGCCCAGGGCAGGCCTAGTGCAGGAGACCCCGGGGACAAGGGGACCTTTGAGTGAACGCCTGGAGGTAGTGAGGCTTTGGTGGGGGGGCTGCAGACGGCCCGGCCACTGCGGTGGGCTTGGGGGTCTGGCTGCCCTGCAGGCTCCAGTGTGGCTCTGGGAACAGGCCTGACCGAGGAGACGCTGGCCGTGTCACGGTGAATCGCGGCTCCCCTCTCATCAGACCCCGAGCCCTTCCCGGCTCCCTGTGCCCCCTGCCCCTCGAACGCCCTGAGGGACGGCTGCGTGCAAAGGGCTGGGCGCCAAGTGCCCCATCCCGCGGCCCCGTCAGCAGGCCCAGCTCCCCTCTCGACAGCACACGCCTCAGTTCATTCGCTCAGAGACCCTCGCTGAGGCTGACGGCCGGGAGCTCAGCACCGTCACCTCAGGCTGACCACCGTGAAAACTGCGGCTCGGGGAGGCAGAGGGGCCGCTGATGGCCGGTGGTCAGCGCACCCGGGAGCTGAGGTTTCAGCCTGCTGGGTCCGCGTCTCGGCAGCTGGCCCTTCAGCTCTGCGCACAGGTTCTCTGACCGGCCCTGTCTTACACGTAGACCGGCCGTGCTGGTGCACAGACAGCTGCACCTGCTGGTGCAGGTACCGGAGGCACACCTGCCACACCTGGGCAAGCCAGGACAGGTGCTCACTCTCAGGGCCCTGGACTCCCCGAAGGGGACACTGCTCGCACTTGGACAAGCGAACGCGGCGTTGCTGGGAGACCTCTGTCCTACGCTGGGTTGTGGGTCCCGCTGAGCGGCCGTGCGAGGATGCTAGGGGATTAGGTGGCTCAGTGGTTCCCAAGCACCTGCAGAGGGGCCTGTGGCTCCAACAAAATCCCTGGCCTGCGGCGACGTGTTTTCAAAGCTTTCTTAAAAGCTTCGTGGAGCTTTTGACCCAAACACCGTGTGACCGGAGCGTGGAACCCCACTTCCACGAGTGCATCTCGGCTCTCGTAGCTGGTGGGTTAGCGCTGCAGGGCTTCGTCTTGCCGCAAATTGGTTTTCTGTGAGATGGGCTTTAAGAGTCCTTACGATCGCTTGGCCACATGGCTGTTAATTCCATGCCAGCTGCCACGTGCTCAGCCCAGCACCCCCTCAGCCACAGCCACGACTGCAGGTGGCCGTCACCCTTCTCCGTGTGGGTTGTGGCCACCCACTTCCTTGTCCCCGTGAAACTGTGAGCCTCTCCAGGGCAGGCGCTGGGCCCCAGTGTCCCGCGACCCCCCTCCTGTACCCGGGACCCCGTAGAGACGTGTGATAAACTGGTGACCTGAGTGCAGCCCCAGACACACGCTGATGCCTGTGTTCCTAGACCGTGCTGTTCCAAGTGCAGGCTGTCACCCCGTTAGTGGGCCGTCAAATTAATTCAGTGGTTCATGACCAGCATTTAAAAGAAGGAAGAAGAAACAGAATATAAATATCGGAGCGCATCCTGTGTCAGAGGCTGAGTGCCATCAGTGAGCCGCATGTGCGGTCAGTGTGAGACCCAGGGAGGTGGCAGTGTGACGTGGGCCCCGGCCAGGGGTCTCGGGAGGCCCCGGCGTCCCTCTTGGTTTTCCGGCGACCTCGCTATGTCTCTACTCTGGGGACCTTAGTCTGCATTGGGCAGTGAGACCCGGGTGGACATTGCAGGCTCTCCCCAAGGTCCACAGCATTGTCCCCTGCTTGGCACCCCACAGGGGCTTCTGCCCCGGGATACAGGCTGGCAGCCGACAGCCACCTGTCGCCCGGCCCGGGGACCCTGCCCCTAGCAGCAGGGCTCATTGAGGGGGAAGGGGGGAGGCAGCTGGGGCCGAAGCGGGAGCAGGACGTCCCCCCGAAGACTTGCCGCTTCCCTCGCAGATGTCAGCACTGTGCGTGTGTGCTGGTGGCATTCCAGAACATTCTGATCAGAGCATACCCTCCCGCGTTGTGTGATGTTTGTGGGTTGCGAGGTGCCCGA